AATGTATTGTGTAATGGGGCACTTGTTGCATAGAAATGAGAATAATACATAATCAAATCCTCACAATGATTACTAAACTGGTATTGAGCCTGGACGAGTATACATATAGAAGGATGAAACTTACCTAATAGATACTTATCTTTGTTTTAAAATTCAATAGCATCAATATAATTCGTAAGAACTTAATAGAATATTTGTTTTATCGTAATAAATAAAATAAAATTAGCAAAACAAAAATAAGCACGATTAAAAAAAAAAAAAATTTAAATTACTTTTTCAATATCATATCGATATACAAATAATACATTTTTAATTTCAGACCGCGGAAGATCAAAAGATCATCTACGTTAAGATTTTGCGTGCAAATTTTCTAAAAAAAGTTATGTAAATTATGTAGTTATTTCATCGTGATAGAAAATCAAATTATTAACAGAGGTAATAGTTTTATCTGTTATCAGTTGTGGATAATCTCAAATGTCAAACGAAATTAAAAAATTGAGGAACGAATTAGTTATTGAATTTCCAGGAAGAACGCGTCAAATTGTAACCTTAATAAATTTGTTAGGAGAGGTAAATAGACATATTTCTAACAACGATAAATTTACTATTTTATAATATATTTAAATATTTATTGAATATAGCCTACAGAAAAAACACCACCTTCAATTTTTATACATGGAAATAGAGCATTGGGTAAAACTGAAATTGTAAAGAATCTATTCAAGAGAGGGTTCCCCACGCGTCACTATTCTTTCCTCAATTGTAAATTATACTTTCAACTCGATGATATATTTGAAGTTTCATTAAAACATTTATCTGGTAAAAAACATAAATGCAAAAATTTTGATGAATATGCTACAATATTACAAGATATATGCGAAACTGTTGAGGAAACTAGATACCTGGTAAGAAAATATAATTCTATTCAATTTCTTTTTTTTACATCTTAATTAATCCTTCCTTCAATTTAGATATTTGATAATGCAGAATTGTTATGGAATCTTTCTCAAACTTTGGTGTCTATTCTCTTAAATCTCCCGCATTGGGTAAGTAATACACGATGAATTGACATAAAACTTATTTTATATTCTTATGATTTTAAATTCTCTTTATTAAGACCGGCGCAAATCTTTGTATAATCTTTATCACACAAGTTCCGTGGGAGAAATTTCGAAGATATGTGGGAATAATTGAACCTTTTCAATTATATTTTCCAGAGTATTCAAAAAATATCCTTTATTTTGATTCATTTGCTTACAATTTATCATAATTTCTTTTCAAATCCTTAATGATTTATTACGCGATGTCATTCAAATTCTTGAAAAAACTTGTTCGAATGATGATGATCATGAACTTTATAGTACATTTATCAATTATATATATGAGGTTTTTTCGGATTCTTGTGATCTTATTGATTTGTTCCGCATCATACCAATTTAGTAATCATTGTGAGGATTTGATTATGTATTATTCTCATTTCTATGCAACAAGTGCCCCATTACACAATACATT